CTAAGGTGTCCTTGATTACTGTCACAGTGGAAGACTGTCTGTAAAGATGGCTGTGTGCACATGCCACCTCTGCTGCTAAGAGACGACGTCTATCTCCCACTCCTGGAATCTGGGCTGGCCTGTGACTTTCTTTGTCCAATAGAATGTGGTGGATAAAATGTTCTGGGTCTTGAGAAATCATCTAGCTTGTGCTTCTGTTCTCCTGATTCCTTAAGCCACACGTGAAGAAGTACAATTACCCTGGGGGAGACAGGGGTCCACCCAGACCCAGCTGTTCTAGACAAAGACATATGAGTGAAATCACCTTAATGCTCCAGTTCCATCTGAGCTCCAGCTGAATACAGCTGCATGAGTGACCTTGGCCGATACCACAGGGAACAAAAGAACCACCCAGCTCAGCCCAGTCAACCCACAGAATCATGAATCATAATAAATGATTCTTGTTTTCAGCCATAAATATTGGGTTTGTCATACAGAAATAGATAACTGAAGAAATTAACAATTGCTTTGAAATGATGCTTATAAAAATATATACTTTAAAATAGCTTACTTAGTTACTTTATTTTATAATCTCTAATAATATCTTTTCGGTCTTTCACATTTTCCAGATATAGAAGAATATCTACATTTTTACCTCCAAAATTTATTCCTTTTTAATTTACATTGCTTGTTTAAATATCAAGGATTTCAGTACAAAATTAAAGGACACAGTCTGAAAGAATACCCTTGTTTAGTTTCTGGAGTTACAGGATCTGCCTAAACATTTTTCCATTCAGTACTATGTAATTATTTAGGATTGAGTGGATATTCTTTACAGGCTTTGAAGGCATCTCTCAAATCTTAATTTTCATTAGAAATAGGTCTTAGGTCTACTGGATATACCCTTTTTTTGGGGAAATTGACATAACTTTTAACTACTTCATCAACTCTAACTTACTATAATTAAGTTTTCCTTTTATTAAACTAGCTAAATTCTTGCCAATAACAATGAATAGGCTTTTTAATTTACTACTGAATTTCCTTTAAGCTTTCTCACATCATCACTGAGACGGTCTTGTGATTTTCTTTTTCATGTGTGTTATCACAAAAGAATCCTATTATGCAATAAGGCTTCTTCTGAATTCCAAGAAAACCATACAAGGGCATCATGACCCTTTGAAACTTTCAAACACTTAGCTGTAAACGTATGAGTTTCAGGTGATAATTGGGATTGTGGGATACTCTTGGACAACTCTTTCAATGCCCTCTGTCCTCTGGCCTTCTACTCTTCTTTACGCCCGTCCCCCCGAATTCCTTACAAGAAGTATCTAATTATCTTAGTCATCAGATCTATTCCTAAATAAATAAAAATAATGTGGAATAAAAAAATTACTTTATTTCTTTCTTTTTTGTTTTCTTTCATAGCTTTTGCAGAATCTTTTGAAGTACAGCTAATTTTCATGGTTTTTTTCCAATAAACATTTCTGAAACAATGCATTCTTGTTCAATGTCTACTCTCTGAGTGCAGTCCAAACATTCTAATAGGTAGCATCTTTTTCATCATTGCTTACTAAAAAAGACAAAAAATGCTCTTATTATATTCCTTAATTCTTCCTAGCACAATTATTATTAGAGTAACATTTAGAATTTTCCAAATGGTTAGAGTGTTTTGTTTGTGTTTTGCTTCTATTTTTGTTACTTAATTCTATTTTCATTGCCTTGTGGTTAGAAATGCGGTATGGAAATGCTCCTCCACTTTGAAGGAGCATCCTGAATGCTTGTGCACAGGACGCCTGGAGGATTCTGATCCCCAGCAACACCATATACCTTAGGTTCTGTGTACCTACAGTTTAAATATATTTAAGCAACCATGATTGAAATAGATAAATTTGGTGCCTCTGCTCTCTTCTTGAATGGTATTGTAAAATCTAAATTTTTAAACTCATGTGTCCAGTGTCAATTTTAGCTCCTAAGCCAAGGGGAAGGCATCATAGACCAAAGCACGGAACATAAATGAGGTAGATCGACAGGGGAGCGGCACTTCTGCTTGGGAGGAATTACACTATCGGATGCTGTGAGGGTCACGGTATCTCAACCCAAGAGGCAGATACAGTCTCTGTTTTTCTAAAGCCTGTTTTCAGATGTGCTGGCTGCTTATGTCAAAACATGGGCACAGCATTAATCCAGAGGGGTCTGAGCTCATAAGGCATCTCGAACTGCCTTATTAGTGTGTAACAATTAAACAGGCACTTGGAGATTCTTTGGACCATCTTTTCTTTATGATGTCACTCTAGCTCAGAAACAAGTTTGAGAACTGCTACAAAAAGATCAAGTCACAAGCAGGGGCAACTGGGTTAGCTAGGTGAAGACAGTTCTCTTCGAAGTGCTAAGGTGATTGATGGCACCCAGTCACTCATGCCAACTCTGTCGGAGTGGAGCTGACACTGATACAGGAGCCTGATTAGCAAAAGTCTGGAGTTGCAAATTCTTGCATTTTCCTGAGCTGACTATGGCCCCAAGGTGTTATGCTACCCTACAGAGCAGCACTGAAAATTACTGAAATTTTTAACACGACCATCCACTCTTTTCATATTTCCTATAAATGTTGCTTGGAAACTTCAGAAAGGTGAGATAACCACAGTCTCCCCTGGCAGAAAGAGTCCCACGTTCTTTCTGCCGAACTTAGGTACCCAGGCACCTGACGCACTGGCTAGCTGGAATTTCCCCATCATGCTTTTTGCTCCTTTGCCTGAGGGTGCCACCTCCCACCTAGACTCCAACTTCAGCTCAGAAATACTCTCTAATGAACAGAACTGTAGAACTGGAGCTTTAGGATGAGAAGAAGCCTTACAGACTCGCTGGCAAAGGTCTTCATTTCATAGACGAAGACTGAAGCCCAAGACAATTAAGCACGTACCTCAGAGGATTACTGTCGAACATTCAGTGTTGGCACAAAGGGCGTAGGTCATGTGATTTATGTGAGTGGTCCAGGGGCCCACAGCCCAGCAGCAGAGCTGTGCTTATGACCAGAACTCCTGGACTGATTATTCAGCCACTCTGCCTATGCCAGTGTGCCTTCTACTTCAGAGGTCAAAAACTCCGCTGTGAGTTGGGACTGCTCAGGGCTGCAGAGCATCATGTCTGTTTAATACCTACTCACTCCTCTGTACTCTCTTCTCATCTGGTTATCTTGCTATGTGCTCGATAAATACAGATAAATAAAACAAGCAGCTTTCTCTTGAGAAACTCACCACCCAATAAGAAGAGACAGACATGTAAATAAAGCAGAATTCAGCCTGGTAAGGACTATGCAAATATTTATGCAGCAGGAGAACATTGCAGAGGACAGAATAGATGTTCTTAGCTTCTCCTGGGGCAGTAAGAGAAGACAGTGTGCAAAGAACACGCCAGAGAAAATGCGGTTACCTCCTGCCTGGGCTGCTCTGGACAGAAGCAAAAACAGCATTCCTGCCCTTTGGTGCTGCTGGCTCCCATGAAGGCCAGTGTCGGGAGTATAGGCAAGAACTGGGCTGTGGGCCTGGGGTTTCTACATATATAACCCACTTCTGGTAACGTCAGAGAAGGACGGCTGCACTGCAGAGCAGACAGGGCATCCTGACGTTTCCACAAGGAACAAGTACTTTGTGAAGCAGCAAATCCAAGAGCAGTGTCACTCCCTCTATTAAGGCAGCAGGAAGAGCCGTTCACTTTGCAGAAATTTTCTCTCAACAGAGGTTCCCTCTCCTACCTATGGGAGCTAACCGTCCCCAGGGGCTGAACTAGCTTGAGAGTAGCGTTCACCCCCCACCTCCCAGGCTCAGGAGCAGAGGCTCCCACCCCAAAGACTGGAGCAGATCCCCCAAGGCCTCGCTCACTCGCAGGGGAGCTTGTTCGACTGAGCGGCTGTGAAGGCAGCAGACCTCCACCTTCTGCAGCAGCCCGACTTCAAAGTGCACCTGCCACGCCTGGGACAAGACTCTAACTTCCTTTCCTGAGGCCAGGATGTCACAGGTGACAGGCTGAGCCACTAGACTCAGAAGGTGAGTAAAAGGGGGAGTGAGAGAGAAGAGAAGGCTGCTCAGGCGTCTGTGGCCCCTCCCTGTGGGGAGTGCAGTGACCATGGAACTCCCCGGGGATGCTGTGGCCCAGACGCACAGGAGATTCTCAAACAGGATCGCCACTCAAACGACCCCACCTCCTCTGTCAGCTCTGCCCGTCACCCCAGGAGCAGAAGACACAATCGTGGAAAATATGCAGCAGCAAGTGGCAGAAAGTCATACTCCTGGGTCACAGGGTGCCCCTACACCCACACGTAAGGTCCTGAGGATGCACGGGAAGCAAGTGTCTCCCCTGTTTGTGTCCACCTTTACCCGCAAGTGGAAAAAACGTGTTTCCTACGGAGCAGCTTCACTCTCCCACAGCCACAAGGCCACAAACGGGAGAAGAGGCATGGGAGAAGACGGCATGGAGCAGGAAGGGCCTTTGAGGTCAGGCAGCCCAGCCATCCCCACCGACCCACATGGTTAGGGGAGGAAGCTGAGGCCCGGACAGGGAGCGACTAGCTCGCGTCAAGCAGATCATGCCAGAGTCTGCATTTACACCAAGCCACCAGACTCCCGGCTCCGTGCTCGTCCCGTCAAACCAGGCAGCTTCGACCTCTGAAGGGTCTTCCTCTCCTATCTTGCCTCATCATGTTGGGAGAAACATACAATTTGTGTCCTACATGTTAACCTCTACATTTCAGCCTAAGAAAACAGAGGTCACAAAGGAAAAGTCACTTGCCCCAGGTCATAGCTGGGGCCTGAACCGGAATTCAGGTTTGGGATCCTTTCCCCATTGCTCATTTCAATAAATGATACAATCTCCCCAAGGAAATGTCCTTAGTCACAGCTCAAGCCTTCTCCTGCTCGTTTTCATCCTCAAAGTGATGCAAAGCATCCAAAACTTTAACCCAGATGATCAGACAGGCAAACACATTCCCTACGTTGTCGCCCCAGGCCCTGGAGGCTGCGCGTCTTTACCTTCAAATGCCCGAGCAGCGTCCACGAGGTGGGACCAATCTAACCCCGTGGCCGTGTCCGGGAGGGGCATCAGGCCAGGATCTGCGCACTTGGACTTATCCGATAAGGACCCATCGGAGAACCAGAACTCATCTAAACAGAAACAAAACCAGAGCGTCAGTCAGATCACAGCGCGGGGCACAGGCTGGCCCCTCACAGGGGCCCAGGGAACTGATTGTGAAAGATCTCCTGTTCCCAGCAAAAACAGGAGACATTATGCCGCAGTTACCCAAAGCACACACAGCTGGAAGAACGGAGGTTTGTGAAAAAGCCACGACCTACAGATTCACTCAGAGGTCAGCCAGCAACAAAGTCCCCATGGAAGGAGCCTAGGACTGAGTCTTGGCACATATGGGAATCTCACAGAAGTTCTCCTCCGGGGCAGGCTTCTCTTGAGTACACTTGAGTCAGACTAACTGTGGGATCAACCCCTGGTTTCCTCAGGGGCGATCTCTCCTGTTCAGGGAGTGGCGCAAACTTCCACTGTAAAGACAGTCTTGCACGATCTTTCTATCCTGATGGTGTGAAAAGCTTCTTGGAAAACACAGTTACCCAGGCTGAGCACCACAAATTCATGATGCCCTGAGAGGCAGGTTCTTGTAAAAAGGCAGGAAGACTTCCTGTTAGTTATTCACAGCCAAGAAAGAGAGGCGACAACGTTTTACATGCTATGCACAAAAATGGTGGCTGGACTGCTTTTTTGACTTTGAAATGGCTCGATCACTGGCTGACCCAGAATCCTCTCGCCATCCTGCACCGAATGTCTGCCCGTGTCTGTCTGTCTGTCCAAATGGACTGCTCACCTTTCTTTTTCTCGTTAAACTCTCATCACAGGACTGACTTGAAGTGTCTATGTCATTAATAACACTAGTTGTTAGGAAATCATTACGCACCTGAGGACAAATTTTCAAAAGGCTTCAGCTGGACTTCCTCTGACCGTGTCTTTTCTCAGCCTGCCCCAGCGCTGCATGCAGCGGCGTGCGAACACATCTGACTAATTAGACCAATCAAAATAATGACCACCTGGCTGTCTGAGCCTGCAATTAAGTTAAGTAAGGGACATAATTAAGCAAATGCACCTGTAATTTTTGTTCCCACATCCCTCGTGGTAGCCAAGAAATGCTGGCATCTGGACTAAGATGGAGCGTTTGTGATTTGGGCCTTGAAGGACACGAACAGTCTTTCACTCTCCTGACACCTTCGCACGCAGCTCTCAGCTGACCTCTAACAGCTGCAGCTAAACCAATCAAACTTTCTATTTTTAATACTTGCATGTTTACATGTAGCCATATTCCATCAACTATTCCCAACCCCCATTCTGAAGGGAACCCAGTAATGGATGTTTTGTCACCACCATTCCCACCGCCCTCCTTCTCCACGTGCTCATGTTCTTTGAAGTAACAGCCATTCCAGCTTGCTCTAAGTGTGACGTACTCTGTCCTTGCCAAGGGATAAGCTGAACAAGGAGCAGACGGAAGCAGTCAGGCTGGAGCGGGCTGGGAGGAGGGAACAGTGAGCACCCCGGGTCTCCCTCCTCTCCTGAACCTCCTCTGGAGCCCAGTTACTCAGGTCACTGATTCCCACGTGAGCGGTTCTTCAGGAAAAGGGAGAAAGTGTCTCAGCTCTGTGAAGGTGGCCCAGGCTGGCCAGAACCCTGTGTACACGGCACTCCTCTAGCCCGCTGCCTCTCCTGCCCCAGTGGGAGGGGAAAACATCAGGGAGTAGAAAATTCTTCAGGTGCATGAACATTTCTACAGAGAGTACACTCTGTTAGTCATGTTTTGCTAAGAGATGCCATCTTGAGGACTTCTTTGGCCTTTATAAAGAAATAATCCTTCACCCGAGCCTCTGGCATCGTAAAGCCTAGAGTCAAAGCTAACACATTCTGTGTGCTGTCTACTCCTCCCTGACACCAGCAGACCACATCCTCCTCACTGGCTCTCAAAGGAGCCAAGTAGAGAGAAAAAGCAATAGAGGGGACAGGGGGACAAATGCGAGAGAATGGAGGGGACAGGGTCAACCTACGTGGTGGACAGTGCTGATTCAGAGGATGAGGTGCTAGGCTAATGTCCCTGCTACCCCCAACCCCCCTTGTCCTTCCTGCAGCTGTGTGCTCAAAGGGCCGTCTTCCCCAAACACCCAATGGAGTATTGACAATGGAGACTTGACAGTTTCTGGTTAAAATTAACGTTTTGACTATTCCTGAGCACCCTGAAGTTCCATGATATGTGGCCATTTATAACTGAGCTAAGGCACAAACCTGAATCTTGGTGGCCGGGAAGCTGATGCCTAGAGTGAGCAAGTGAGTAGGCCCAGATCTACACAGGAGGGCAGGTCAGCCTGCTCCCCAGGTCTCCCTGCTGGCTGCCCTCTAAACAACTCACGCGGAGACCACAGCAAAGTGGCGCAGAGGCTTTGGGATATGGGAAGATCTCAGGGTGTAAGTTTTCGCACTAAAGGGAAGCCCAGGGCATCCTCCGTACCTCCTCCAACTGTTATGGAGAACCACGGGGCAAAAGGAAGAAATAGAGTTTGTGACGTTTCTCCTTTATTACAACTCTTACCCTCTCTTCCCCAGTTGTGAAGGGGCCTTTTGTCTGTTCACCTGATACTACAGAACCGGCAAAGATGATCAGAAGATTAGAAGAAGATTCCTTTGCTCTAGAGTTCGTTTGGAGTGCCATCCACTGAACCGTCTATCGATGATCTATTCATTAAGTGACTACTGTCTGCATAGTGATGGGGTACGGCAGTGGATAAGACAGACACGACCATGCTCTCACGAAGCTTACATGACAAGTGACAAGGAAAGAGACAATAAACAAATAAACAAGAACATACAAGTAGTGACAAGCCTTTCAAAGAAAATAAAACAGGGTGATGTGGCTGAGGAGCCTGACAGCATGTTTGGGGGAGGCCTGTCTGAGGAGGCAACACTTGCCGGGACAAAGGACGAGAAGGAGCTGCTGGATGAAGAGCAGAGTTCTGGTGGAAAAGCTCTGAGAAAGCACATATTAAAATCTAAACCCATCCCCCTTCAGAAACAGGAAGACCCTAGCGCCACTGACAGTCACCATAAACGAAGTAAAAGCTGCCTAAATTCCTCTCTGAATTATCAAAATGAAAAGCACCTACATATTTTTCCATTGCTTGGACAAATCACGTAGCTGGAAAAAAAAATTACCATCATTTTTTTTTCCCTGAGACTCCAAATCACGCAAACTCCTTTATCATTCTTTTAACTGACATTAGGTATCACTACTGCCATCAGCCAGGTGACATTTACTGAGCATCCACTATAGTCCAGGGACCACCAGGACTGTATTAGCATCTAGGGATGGAAGGACCAGTAAGACACAGGCTCTGCCCCTGAGGACGCCAGTCCACAAGCAGATGCATCCTGCTGGTGCTGGTCTTGTGGGGTCTGGAGAAGGTACACGCAGTGGGCAGTCGGCTGCCCTTGGCCAAACCACAGCAGCTGTAATTGGATTGTTCCCTGAGTTTCACAGATGGGGAAGAAAAGGCATCACTTGTCTTAGGGATCAAAGCCTGTTATTTCAGATCCAGCTCCTCCAAGCCTGTGTTACCTCGGGAGCACACACTGCTCTTCTGGCCAACTCAGAAAAGAAAGTGACTCATGGATGCTGAAAGATGGCTCACATCCAGGCAGTGAGGCCCGTGCCCCTGCTCTCTGGCCTGGACATTGATCTTGTGGCTTCCTGTTCATTTATCCAAAACCTGAAATCACAGGGACCCTCTTTACTGAGTCTGACTTTATCGTTGTTATAAATGCCAAGTACTTCCTGGTGGTCAGTTACCTGAGGTTTCACAATTACTCTCCAGAAACCAATGGATGTTTGTTTATTATAGCGGAGACTGAAAACATTTGAAAAAATAGAAAGAAGTGCCACACGGAATCAGTCAAAACCCTGCCTCTGACGGCCCACAGACACCTTCTCCAAATGCCAACTGAAGCAAGGACTGCTCTTCTGCTGGCTGCCAGCTCCTATCACCCATGCCACACACCACTGAGTCTACACCTAGAGTCTGTAGCATCTCCTGTGAGTACTAAATTATAAGGAAAATACTAATTTCTTTTCTTAGTACTCTAAAACTCAACCCCCTCACCCCCCTTTTTTTTTTTAACTTCAAGGGGCAACCTTTGTGAGGTGTCTAGGTCAAAGTTATACGACTTAGGAGAACACACATAAGCTAATACTCTGCTTTTATTTTTCAAAACTTAAGCACTTTTGTTTGTCTATCCTCATAGGAAGATTTCCACAATTCCTTGGAAAGTTTTGATTCCCTTCCATAAAAAATCAGGAATTCTCTTTAAACATGTGGACCTGCCAATGCTTGAGACTGCAATGAATGGAACCAGGTGCCCAACTGGTCAAGGAGGAAAAGGATGCTATGAACGCTACACAGTATCATTGGTTATTTGGCCTGTGGACTGTGTGTTCAAATGGCCACTCCCATTTTTTTTTTCTGCCTGGGATGCTAAAGAAAGTTTATTCTGAAATCCATCAATTCTGAGAAAAAAAAAAAAAACAGGCCCTAAATGCCATGCAGAAACATTTCATAAATATTTTCAATTGCTTGATCAGGTCATATTTTTACACGGCCAAGTTGAAGACATAATGATACCGCACATTCCAGTGACTTCACAGGAAATAGATACGCATCATGACATGAATCACACCCAAAATGTGTTTGCTAAGTATCTGTCTCACAAGAGTGGATTAAGATCTTGTTCTCAAGAGAAGAAAGACTGTGAGACAGGTTCACATTTGGGACACATAAGGCTAAAAATATCTGAGCAAGAAGCCTGTGCCTGTAATAATTACATGTAGAAAAGGAGCAGTGATGAAGTCTTCCAATTGTCTGTGAAGGGATGGGCTGGCTGACCCTTTCTCTGTGCTACCTTTACTCCAAATCAGGAACAAGACCTGAAGGAGTCTCTCCGAGTGAGAGATTCTCTCTCTAAAAATCAGATACTTCTAGCAATACTCAAGTTCTGAAGTTTAAACGAAGAATACATGTGTCTTCTGAGGGTTTTGCCAAGCTCTGTCTCCGTAGCTATTTAACCATCCAGGGCCACAAGATTCGGCAGAACTAAGCAACCTCCACTCCCAGTTTTAACGTGAAGCTATGTCTCTGAGAAACTACGAGAAACAACTGGGCAACCTCCAATAGGCCTCAGTTCTCACTCACAAGACAGCTGCTAGGCATTAGCACTCACACTTCAAATTTCTGGGTTGTTCCAGTTTCAGAATGTCGAAATACCCTCAAAGAGTGGTATCTTCTCATAGAGGCTCTGCTGAATGAGCAGAAATCACAGACAGTGAAGGATGGCCAAAACCTGTCTTGAGTAGACACAAAAGTAAGAACCACTCAGGTGAGTGTGGGAGTCAGGGGTCCCAGGAACTAGTGTCCCCCAAGGGGGACTAGATCCTTGAGGCAGAACCTCCCCATGGGTAGGCAGGAAGGAATCGGAATTCTTCGGGGAAAGACACATCAATGCAAATTACTTCCAGCTCCCTTATTTACATTCTGTCATTTCACCCATCAAACCTAGAGAACTTTTTCGGAGTAGTTTCTAAAGTATAGAAATTGGAGAAGACACATTGCCAACAAGGTTGCACTGGAGAATAGCAAATAGCAAGGACCACTCATTGCTTCTCCTACAGAAGTGAACAATGAAGACAAGTAAGGCAAGTTTAAGCTGGAGAGTGAATAGTGTACCCTGCCTGTTTCTAACTGTGCCTTTATACTTTGAACATGCTAATAACGGACGCAGTCCTTCAGTAGGTGAATGGATACACTGTGGTCCATCCAGACAACGGAATATTATTCAGTGCTAAAAAGAAATAAGATATCAAGCCATAAAAAGACATGGAGGAAGCTTAAATGCGTTTTATTAAGTGAAAAAAGTCAATCTGAAAGGCTACATACTATATGATTCCAACTATATGACATTCTGGAAAAGGCAAAACTATGGAGACAGCGAAAATGTCAGAGGTTACCAGGAGTTAGGGGGAGAGACGGTTGAACAGGCAGAGCAAAGAGGATTTTAGGGCAGTGAAACTATTCTGGATGATACTATAATGATGGATACAGGTCATCACATATGTGTCCAGACCCACAGAACGTACAACACTAGACTAAGCTCTGATGTAAACCCGAGACTGTGAGTGACAATGATGTCTCAGTGGCGGCTGGTGGATTCTATCTAACAAATGCACCACTTCGGCGAGGGATGTTGACAATGGCTGAGGTTGTCCATGTGTGGCGACAGGGGGTTTATGGGAACTCTCTGTGCCTTCTGTTAAATTTTTCTCTAAAAAAAATATATATACTAAAAAAAAAGAGGATAAAAAATGTGTATCTTTCATATGAAAGCAAATGAAGGGTGGAATGTAAGAATTACATTAATACACAGATTTCACAGTCACACTTCAAGCATTTTAAATGAAAGAAATAACATTTGTAAAAAAATAGAGTTTTACTGGTTTTACAAAAGCTTTTAAGAGGACATCAAAGTTACATATTTTCAAGAAGGGAAAAACATTTGGAGAAATATTAGGGTGTTAGAATATGTCTGTCTGACCTTTCATACAATTATCAAGGCGTTTAAAGGTTTCTTCAATTTAGACAAATGGATCCTTTAAAACAGGCAGGATATTATGTTACATAAAGAAATAGATTAAGAATTTTACGTGACAAGGTTCATTTCCAATTATGTTAAACATTAGAAACATTATTAGAACTTTTATTTCATTTAGCCTGGAACTTCTGTGTGCATTACGAAGTTCAAATTGGTTTTAAAGATAATGCTTTCCGTGATAAAAAAAAAAAAAAAAAACCCTGACGATGAATATATTTCTGATTAAATCCCCATTCTTCCTGTACAATAGAAATTAACTACAGAAAAAGGAAATAAAGCTAATGTAAAAAAAATAACCACTCTTAAACACTGACACGTTAATGAGGAACTGACACTATATAAAAATCAGATTTTAGGATTTGAAGGAAAATAATCTAGAAATTATCTATTCAGCCTACGACCAGTAAACTGGACTAAACTGGATACAGAGAATATAAGTGACGAGCACAAGGACATGCCACCACCCATGAGGAAAGCCAGTCTCAGACCCAGGTCTTCTCATGCCACTGCCACCTTGCGAGTCACCAGGTCTCGGATGTCAAGCAGAAACAGAAATGGAAGGCGAGAAAACCACATTCCTCCTTGCGTACTGCCCACTGGAACATCCACCCCTGCACCACAGTTTTTTCTTTACAAAATTAGGTTTTAGACATTTTTCTTTATGGATGTAATAGCTGAGATATAGCAAGAGGTCACCATTTTACTTGATAAAAATGTTTAATATAGATGTTTCATTTTCTTCAAAATTGGTAATATGGCTTAACTTGTAAAAAATGTCCACTCTGGGGTTTTCATCATATTTAAAAATTACTAAAAAACATCCCACACCACCCAATGATAATATTTTTAAAAATAAACACCTCCTCCCCGCCGGCCCCTTCGTAGGAAACAGTCTAAAAAGCCCACCGAGGCAGGAGCTAGTCAATCAGCCGCCAGCTCCCGAAGCTCCCAGGAGAGTGCCCACCCCCCGTACTTACTTCTCAGGCTCCCCATGCTGGGCGCAGGGTGAGTCCGGGGAGGCAGGGTGCTGTGGTAGGGCGGCGTGGTGCTGAACAGAATGTCATTGGGCAGGGCCTGGTCAAGTATGGAACTCCGGGAACTGCCAAAGGAAGAGCCCCTCCTATTGCTGCAGATGCTCTCATCAGAGAGGGTGCGGTACAGTGACCGTCGCGGAGACAGGTTCCCATAGAACGAAAACTAGAGGTTTAAACAGGGGGGATGGAGAAAACAGACATGAGAGAGCTGAAAGCGTGGACTTTACCTGACTAAATCCGGGGGCTCACATGCCACCGTGAGAGCTTTTCTGAGCATCCCCTAGGCAGGCACAGAGGGTTAGCTCAGGAGCGCGAAGCCTGGCACGTGGGCAGCCAGGCAAATGCACCAGGGCTTTGCAGTTACCGGATTTGAGTGTTTTCCTCCTCTGACATTCTGTGAAACATGATCGTGAATTAGACGTGTACAGCTTTATTAATTCTGAAATGTTAAATGGAACCTCCATAACCTCACAGCAGTGACAGCTCCTGGAAATCTATAAGGTTCTCATTTCGAGCAAGGGTTATTCAAAACCACACATAGTGCTGGCTTGATTTTAATTTGAAATGACTACATTTTAATATTAGGCAATTTTTGTAGCTATCAACTGCATGTGAAGTTCAATTTAATCTAAATAATAATAAAACTAATTGAGAATACTGTAGCTTTCTAGGCCATACAAACACGTTCAAGAAAAATGGTATCAGTACAGGAAAATCTTACTGTCCACTTAAAAGTATCAGTCACAAAAGCCTATTACAATTGTTGAAAATTGAGTTAGAGTAATCAATCATAACCAGATTTAAAGGAACCATTAAAATTATAGTGTGTTAAATTGAAGATAGGGTAAGGGAAACTCTTACTAAAGAAACAAGGAGTCAAATATTCAAGAAAAATTAAGTCCAATATGAATCTCTAACTACTACTTCTGCATACTGAACCACACTCCTTTTACACAAACAAGAGTAAAAGCCAGAATGTTCACATCAAACAAATATAGAAATGGCTATTTACATTTGTGAATGCAGCAAGAAGGCTAAAAATATTTCTATTGTACGTGTTCCTTCCATTCTGTCGAGTCTGTCCAACTGATGAATGGTGAGTGGAATGTGTGCGGACTACAGAGTTAAATTTACACTATCAAAAGAAGGTGATTTGTCTTAGAAGAAAAAAAGAAACATGTCAAGGAGAAGTTCATTCCTATTAAAAGAAAAGCTATTTGCACTTTTTGTTCAATAGTCTGCGCCCAGCTTATACAGTTACCATATCATGATTTGATACAAGTTAACAAGAAAAGACTCATTATGATTGAGTTCTTCTGGGATTCCGTCTTCACACACGACCAGCAGGTTCTTCAGAACGTGATTACAGGCACATTAGATTAAAGCGGCTTTGAGGTAGTATCTAATTAGAGTGTTATTCTAAGAACACAATTAGGTTAATTGCAGTATTGTTTTATTAGAGGGAAGACAGAAGCAAAAAGCCTTCCTGTTTACCCCGATCACAGTCAATATGGCACTGCCCGATTTTTTTCTTTTCATTTGGACAAGAGGGCGTGCTGGATTGGAAAGCAGAAGATCTAGATTTCATTTCTGACTCTGCCACCAAATATTTATACGAACTTCACATTTCACCATTTGGGGCCTCTAAAGTTACTTGTAAAGAGAGGAGATGGGGCTAAATTACCTGTAAGTCCCTTTTCATACTTTCCATTATTTAACAAAGCGGTTTAAGAGACTGTAATAATAATGAAATTAAAACTACTAAGAATGACAAGTAATCTAACCTTATACCACGCACATCAAAGCCCAGTGTGAATGAAGGTATGCCCCTCGGCCTGAAGTTGGCTCATAAGATTGATGCGTGGCCTTCCCTTGTGATCACTGCAGAGGTTTATACGGCAAGATGCAAGTACCACTCATTTTATAATGCCTGGCAGGCAGTATACTATCTAACTCCAGCCCATTTCTGGAACAGGATTACATCTAAGGACAGCTTGGAGCAGAGAGTAGAGTTCTGGAGCAAAAGGCAGGTAGTGTGAATTTTAACAGCTACTGTTTCTGATCACCCTTTATGTCCAGGTGCTGTGTGAGGCTCCACCCATGTTATTTCTTATCTTTGCTATAACTCTGTGGTACACTTAATATTATCTCCTTGTTTCAGAGGAGGACACTAGGCCAAGAGGTCAAGTCACTTGCACAAAGTCATGCAGCTGATCATTGCTGGAGCTGGGACCTGAGGCCAGGCCTGCCTGATTCTAGCTCTCTCTATCCATGCTGGAAAGTTGCCCTTCCTCACCCCTCCTGGGCTCGTTCTGCTTACTGACAGAATAAACACTGCAAACGGCCAGCCACATACAGAGCGGTCGGCAGGGTCACAAGAGAGAATGCATGCAGGAGAGCTCTGGAAACCTTTAGTCTCTTTAGACTTCTCTCGAGTGTTTCTGGGAACTTCAAAGCCCCACGAAAGTCACTAACCTTTCTTCTCCCCTCCTCTACCAAGGGGCTGTCAGGGAGCATCAATTTCAGAAAGTCTTCTTTTGACAGAACGTGTTGAGCTTCTGAAACAGCATCTCCCACCACAGTCTGATGCTGAGTGGCCGTGGCCATGAGATCCATTTCACCGTACAGCCTGTTGAAACGAATCAGAAGGAAAATTAAGAGGAGCAGTCAGCCTGTTTGTAAAGTGTCTGCAGCCTTAAGAGCGAAAATCCAGTGACCTCGCCCACGTACACACGATTCTTATTATTCAGTTAGTTCGCTGCTGCTGCATTTGCTCCAGATCCCCACGTCGTTTTACATCTGTGAAATGAGCTCAATCGCAAAGTTGGATTTCTGAATAATTCAGAAACAAAATCAGATCCCCAAAGTCCTGGATGAGAAAAAATATAGCCAACTTTTAATATATGGCTGTGCTTTTCTTTTCCCAATCTATGTGTAAGAAAACACAGTTTCAATGATTTGTCAGAGATTATGAAATGTCCTTTGAAGGAACTCTTGTGTTTCTCTGAAACCTGAGAGCCTTTTTCTCGCGGCTGGACATCCACACCCCTCATCTCACCCAGGCAATGCAGAGGCACCCAGGGGAGCCTGAAGTTTAAGAGTAATCAATTCAGGCGTGGGCCAAGCACGTTTTATTATCAGCAATTTCACAAAGCTGTTTGGATAAAGAAAGCAGCTGTCTTCCTTAATTGTCAGTAAATGAAAATGTCTTTATGGACAACAAAAGACTGTCTAGCTGAATTACTGTGTTCAGCTCTTCGCCAGGGAGAAAACTGGGGAGCCATTTGTAAAAGGTGTGCTCTGGAAATGCCATCTGAGCAAAGGAACATTCCGGAAGACAGTGAACAATCGGCGGCCGTGTGGTCAATGGAAGAGAAAGGCTTATGCCACGTGACCTGAAGTGTAACATCCTAGGAACCCACGGCCCAGGGCAGCAGGCAACGGAGGGCAACCTGTATGTCACTGTCACGCGCCACTGGGATGACTCTATTTCAAAAGCAAGGCTATCTTGTCACAGTGTGACAGCTCACTGGGAAATTATCAGAATAAACTCACAGAGACATGCTCAAAATTAACTATGATAGATTTGGAATCTCTAGGGCTCCTGCTTTGCTTCTGACACAGGTCAGGTTTCCCTGCACTTCTCACTTCTTGAAGCACCAGCAAGACTGAGAACGTGAGCCAACAGTGGCTGGGAAGAGGAGCTTTCCAAAACGTTTAAAACACAACTGAAGATTTGCTTGGCTTGTGGGATGGCATGACGTGAAAACGGGGGAAGAATCTAAGACCCTGGGGGGCTTTTGCACAAATGCCACATGGAGAAAACAACAATGGACATTTTACAAGAAAGCACCCAAGAAGCGCCAACTTGTGACCCTGAGGCTTGGAGCTGGGGGTGCTCCAGAGCTCCAGGCTCCCTTTGCTTTGGGAGAGATGTAGGGGAAAAAAGTCCAGGTCTCATGAATAACTGCTTGGATAAAAATCTAATGCCTATAATTACTACTAAAACGTGCTATTCCAGTTTCCCTAGGTTTTTGAATAAAAACCACTAGCCTTTCTGCTAAATTAGTTTTATTAAAACTGCCATATGATGTATCAATAAATATGCTGTGGGGGTCTACTTGTGCCAGTCACTAGGAGAGCAGGACCTGGTGCTCCTGGAGGACCCTGCTCTGGGGTGTGGGTGTGCGTGTGTGTAGGGGCAGGGATGAACAAGTGAGTGGGAAGTCACATTGCTGGGAGAGAGGTGCAGCGAAGGGCCCAGCTTGGGAGGGGGCTGGCCTCAGAAACTTGGCTCAGAAACTCAGGAAGGGCATTTAGGCAGAGGGAACCACATGAACGGAAGCACAGAGGCCAGAGACAGAACTGCTCAACTGAGAAAGTGAAAGTAGAGCTACCAGGAAGTGCAGGGTTAGGGGGATGGAGATGGGCATGCAAGTAAGTGCAGGACAAATGAGGAAGGATTGCACATGCTGTGCTGAGCTGTTACCCTGAAGATACTAGAGTTTAGAAAGATCACAGATAGAGAAGAAAACAAGCTTTGAATATAAGAAAAAAAAATTCTGGGTACGATGTGGACCACGGCTGGATGAGGTGGGGTGGGGACGGAGAGCAGGCGGAGTGGCATACAGCAGCCGGGCTGAGAGGCTGAGGACCCAGGACGGCAGCTGAGGCCACAGACACAGAGGGAGGTGATCACAGTAAAGGGAGGACCAGTGAGACCTGGGGACGGCAATGTGACAGGTCAGGTAGGAGACAGGAACAGAGCCTGTTTCTGACTTGGTGACAGGAACACAGGTAAATAGAGAATACGGAAGGAAGATCAGACCTCAGGAGGACAAATCAAGAAAGACACAGCTAAAGACGGGCATTGTTCTCTTACAATATAATTGATACCAATGTAATATATGAAATAACATATCTGGGAACTGCTATGGAGTACTGCAATTAGTAATTTCTATGCTGTTTCTCCTCCCTCAGACTGGGTATTCCTGAAAACGGGCCTAGGACTGACTTGGCTCTGTATCTCTAATGCCCAGGATAGTTTCTCCCATGGGTAAACAGCACAGTGCTGACCACTACTGAGGGATGTATCTAGACTCCCCACTATTTCTGGAACAGTGAGCCGAAGGGCTTCCCGGAGGGTGTGAACCACTGAGGAGAGAAACAGACCAAAGCTGCAGGACACCCAAGGCACACAGTCCACTCACTACATAAAACGAACGAGCAACTCGTTAGCTGCATTTTAGAACATAAGATGGTATTATTAACAAAAATAATCAATGACGGTTCTGCAAAGTGATTTTAAAGAATAACCAGCAGTTTCAGAGTTATGTGAAACTTCTAGAGGGCACAAGTGATTTCAAATTTTGTGTACAATGAGACACTAGTATTCTCTAATTCTCAGTGGTACAAACACTGTACTTGGCTGATCTTTTTCTATGTGTAACTTTCAGTGATTTGGTAAAAACACTGTTGTGACAAAATTTCAAATATGGTTGGTGCAGCCTGTATGACTGCCATTGGTATGTATTCATCATTTCCACATTAAATAGAGTGCTTTCTTGTTTTAGATGCACTTGACTTAGCTAGGCAAGGCCTGGGGTGCCCGTCACACCTGACAGGATGGGCACGGCTCACCATGGAGAGACCTGGCCAAGGCCTGGGTTTCGAATCCCAGCCCTGACCTCATGTGATGAGGGAATAATTGCTCTCCCACCCAGAGAGGCAAACCCCTTTCTCACAATATTCCTCATGTTGCCTCTCTTTTACTGAGAGTCGGTGTCATCAAGCCAATGTGTCCAAATGCGCAAACTCTGGGGGCTCCTGAGTGAAAAATGTCTACATGGGCTCCTTTCCCTCTTCCCGACTCTTCGAGAGAGTCCTTCACCGAAACAGAGTGCTGACACCGAGGTGCAAATGCTTCTACAAAGATTTCACAGAACCTAAATGATGAGGCACACAGAAGACTATGAGAATTACCGACATCATCATTACAACATTTGCATTCATGATAAAAAAAAAGTGTAGTTACCATAAAATTCCCTTCTAAATAACTTGTATGTAATCATTGACATGATGGGGTTTTTTTTAACAAAAAAGATTCCACGTTCAATTGTAGCAGCAAAATGATTTTTAATTTAGAAGGAATATCAATGCTAGCCGTACTTAAGAAGTGGGATTATTTTCTAAGGGAAAAAAGTGATGCTAGTTCATTGATCAAACTTAAGGTCTAGGAGAGCTCCCTGAAAGTCACTGCAGCCGCGAGCTCTCCCACGGGACGATGCTACCAACGCATGCAGACGCAGCACATCACCAGGACATCATCACTTACTGCACGAGACTTTTTTTAAGGCTGTCCTTTAAAAAATAAGCAAACCAACAGCTAAAGAGCTCTGACCAGACTTGCTCTGCATTCCTGAAATGTGATTTCTTTACTTGTCTCTTCAAAGAGCTAGCACTATAGCTTTCACACGTGTTAAAAATTGGGTTATCAGTACTTTTTCTCTTTTCCTTTTTCTAACAGATACAAAACATCCCTCCCTTGCTGCCCCCATAAAACCTAACAACTGAAAGAGAATCAAAATCATGGTAAAATTAGGTCAAATGTTTTTTCTTTTATGATGTCACTTACACAGCAACTTTAAGAAACACACATGGAACTGTGGGAACTCAAATTGTCCTTGAACTTGTTTCTTTACAGACCCTCTACTCACACCATCACTAGCACATTATTATGATTTTTCTATTGCAGGCAGCTTTTGGAACATAAGAACAAAGAGCAGAGTTTTTTAAAATTTTATATGCAAAAATCAAGGAAAGAGAAGCCTTTTAAAGAGAAATTTAAATGCCAAGATGTAAAGAGTTTTACAAAGATGTTTCCAGATTATTCTTTTTTAGAAAATACATTTCTGCTGGAGGAAAAAGACATTTGCTTAGTCAATGCCCAAAACGCGTAAGTCGCCCAGAGAAGAAGCGCCAGCCTCCTTACCCCTGACATTCAGTTCCTTCGGACTCCTCAGGTGGTGGGCTGCCTTCTGATTTCTTCCAGCCGATGATGTATTTGTTCACTGCCCCTTGTCTGTGGTAGGGCTTGGACATGGACCCTGGGACCTGCTGACCACTGCTGTGAGACACGATATAGACTTTGGACGTATCCAGAGAGCCGGAATTTTTGGAACAGTGAGCCGAAGGGCTTCCTGAGTGGTGTGAACCACTGAAGAGAGAAATAGACGAAAGCTGTCATACAATCGGATTTCCGCAGTGCTGGCATATTGCCAAACCCTGAGCCACCCAGCTTTACTCCTGTCCTTCTCTGTGGGCAAAATTGGGCAAAGTGAGCCCGTTAGAATGCACCTTGTCAGAAGGTCTCACTTTCCATAGGCTAAGGATGCTTACATGCAAGCTGTAGGCCTGGGGCCGGAAGGATGTTAAAAATACGGTAGGGGAAATCTAAGAGAAGAATGGGCAACATACTGAAACTGATGCTTCAAAGGAGAGAATGCTCAAAGAGTGAATAAACATAAGAGAAGGTGCTCAACTTCAGCGCTCACCAGGGAAACGGCAATGCAAACATAACAGAGTTATCACAACCCACTCACCAGACCGGCAAAAATGGGAATGCCTGATACTAAGTGCCCACCGTTGGCCAGAACTGGAGCAATGGGCAACCTCCTACTGCTGGTGGGAGTGAAAAGTGTGTAAAACAGTTTGGAAAGTGGTCCAGGCACTATCTGCAGAGATGTGCACCTGCCGAGCGTATGACCCAGCAATTCTGCTCCTCAGCTGACATACCCTGGATAAACCACTGCACATGGGATAACAGTGTTGACAGGAGCACTGATCTGAACAGCTCCCCAACGGTGGCAACCTGAATCATCATTAGTGGAATGGATGGTCAATTAATAAACACGAAACAATACACAGAATACACCATGAATGAAGGAACCGAGGCTGCAGGCAAAAGCTTGGGTCAATCTCGCAAACATAATGGAGAAAAAGAGGCAAGTCACAAAGAATATGTTGAGCATGATTCTCTTTTTTAAGAAAGTTCATCAACAGGCAAAACTGAACAATACATTGTTCAGGAACATAAATGTCAGTAGCAAAGCTATAAAGAAAAGTGACGGGATAGCTATCACGAGGGCCAGCCAGGTTAGTGGTTACCACAGGAGAGAAGAGAAGGGAGGTGATTGGGTAGGACGCGGGGATCCTCAGACACAGCACGGCTAATTCGTTAACCTGGTGTAGTTACACGGATGTTCTGATTGTCATGTGATACGACAGCAACAAAATAATATTTAAAGAACAGAATCCCTAACAACAACAAAAATTTTTTTAAGTCAGTGGTTAATTTAAGGCCAGAAGGACTCCCGTACCGACTGTATGACCACAGCCAGAAAGACAAAAGCCTAAAGATCTTTTTTAATTCGGGAAGATCAACAATATAATGTTTTATGAAAAATGAATAAAATAGAGATCAGGGATTACTGTACTAATATGAAAAAGCAGCAGTCCCGGCTATTGAGAAAGTTTACAACAGGGTTCCTTGGCAAGCTCCCTGGTACGATGAAATAACATCTTACTCTGAAACCTGTGATTAGCACCTACCTTTACTGAGAAACCTACGTATAAAGTGAGCATAAAATGAAGGAAGTAAACAAAAAAGTCTAAAGTTAAGAATGATATTAAAGTGGATATTAAAATGATAGAGGTTCAACAGAAAATAAGGAAACAAAATAAATGAACCCATTTTGGGATCTTCACATGTTGGAGACTGTGGTATCTGAGAAATTAAAAAACAAAACTAAACAAATACATCGAACACCTCACTAGGAAGTGACTTGGTTGCTGGTGGTAAGTCTGTGCTCCTCCGTGTGACCGGAGGCTCCCTCAGTGTGGACTCTAAGTTGTGAGCTCTAGTGGATGAGGTTTTACTGCCTTCCCACGTCCAAAGCTACCCAAGGAATAAGCCAGGAATAACCAGGCACAGAGAAAGGGAGCTAATGAACTCTTTCCGTGCACTGGGGTGCACGCCAGTTAGAAAACTCTTAACACAAAAACTCCACGTCTAGGCAATGGGTTCTGGAGGCCGGTGTATTTTCCCCTAAGCTACTTATTTTGGAAAACTTCAGAGCTACAGAAAAGGTATAAAAATAGTAGAATAATATGCATAGCCTCTTTAGGTTCATTAATTGTTACTATCTTGCTACTTCGGCATTATTCCTCTCTGAACCATTTGAGAATCAGTTGCAAACTTTATGACATCATACTATATTTCAGTATACATTTCCTAAGAATAAGGATATTCTCCCTCATAGTGACAATGTAATTACCACAATCAGGAAATCAGGCGATTAATGCAATACTATTATCTAACATACAGTCCATATTCTAATTTCTCAATGGTCCCAATAATGCTTATGACTTTAGTTTCCCCATTCAGAGCCCAATCAAGGATTGTGCATTGCTTTTAGCTACCATGGGCATTGTGCATTTTAAAGTCTTTGATTATCCTTAAGATTTTCTTTTTTTGCTGGTAAAGATCCACCCTGAGCTAACATTTGTTACCAATCCTCCTCTCTTTCGTCTTTCTTCCCAAGGCCCCAGGACATAGTTGCATATTCTAGTTGTTAACTCCTTTTAGTTCTCCTATGTGAGCTGCTGCCACAGCATGGCTATTGACAGACGAGTGGTATGGCTCTGCACCGAACTTTAACCACTAGGCCATCAGGGCTGGCTCCCCGAGATATTTTATAATGCCTAGGGCACCCAAAGTCTGCTGTAATTAATATGCTGCATATTAATTACACATAAGCTACTCACATTGCTCCCCTGGAACTACCAAACTGAACACTTTTTGAGAATGTGTCATGAATAATGATAGCACAGTCACAAACCCCATGTGGTTTTCCATTTGTTTTATAAAAGATATTTTTCTAATTTTAGACTTGCTTAAAAATGTTTTTTACCCCAATAGCAAAATATTTTAAAGTTAAACTCTAAGAACAAATTCACTGAATCCATTTGATAAGCAATATGGTAAAACTCTGTGTTTAGCATCAGTAACGTCACTATAAAAGTTTTCTCGGAAGCTGGTAAACATCCTAGAATGCTGGCGATAAGCTTTTCAAGAATCCTTTCCTTCTAGACCACAGTTCTTATTTTAGAGTTTCACTACAAAGCTCCAATCATTTGTACTAGGAGAAGGGTAGGATGACATGAATAATGGCCAACAACAGATAATCTCAGGAGCCATTTACAGAAGAATCCAGAACACAGATTGTATTTTTTTCAGTTGATTTATTTCACTTTGCAAAATCTTGGTTAGGCTAATATGAATACTGCTTTGCATTCTGAGCTCTTATCGAAGTGCCCTGACCTTGCAGGAAGGAAAAATGAGCGTGCTGAATTAAGAACTGAGCAGCAGGAGAAAGAAGGCTAGATATATGCTTGTCCTGCTTAAAGGATCATCCCTGCTCACGCCCCTCCAGCCACCTCCAGTCTTCTCCTTGCACCGTCTTAGCTTGTCTTAAAGAGGTTTAAGTCTTCCTTTCCCCCTCCTCAATACAATCCTGGAATTGCACCATATACACAGTCCTGTACTTGCTTTATTCCTGGATGGCTGTTGGGAAAGAAGTGTGTGTGTGTTGGGGCTGGTAGCGGTTTTGCTTGTGGGAAACCAGTAACAGAGTCTGAAGAGTATGCCATCTATCAATCTGGGCTCCTGAAGCTAGGAACTGGGAATGGTTGACCCCATGTGCCTTCTACTTCTCTAAGCTGTCCAGTTACTAGTTTATTAACTCAATCAATAAGCATTTATCAAGCACTCTTCTTATAGTTCCTTCCTTCATTCAACAAACATTTGAATGCCTACCATGTGCAAGGAACTGTACCTAAGCACTATGGATAGAAAGTGGACAAGACAGGCCAGGTCCCTTTCAGCCTGGAAATGCACACATTCCATGAAGGGAAGCCAGCAATAAGCCACATTCTTGTGGGGGGAGATACACAAACACAAATGATTTTAGATGGGGGTGAGTTCTAAGAAGAAATTAAAACACGGGATGAGGACACAGAGTGTGTGGGGGTGGGTGTGACTTTAGCCAAGGTGGTCAGCACTGACGTCAGCTCCTAAAAGAGTTTATTTTGCTCTTCTGCTACTTGGGCTACAATCAGTTACACCTAGACCTTTGGGTGGTGGGCCTCAGCTACGAGGTGACCGCATGCCAGCTTGAACTGAATCACAAGAGGCCGGTCTGAGGCTGAGGAGCCATCATCACAGATACGCTGGCTGGTCTGGGCCCTGGCATCTCAGTGTCTGCACAATCTACCTGATAGGTTGGTCCCTCATCTCATAAGCACAGTTCCTTTTACCTCAACACACAGACACTTTAAATATAAAATAGGAATATATTTAATACTTAAAAATATTTAAATATCTAAAAACTTAAGTTCAAAAATTTTTAAATCTTGTTTTCTTTAGCCCTCCTGCACAGGTCAAGGGACAGACAGGAAGAAGCATTCAAAAGATTTAATTTAATGAATTTCATACTGAGCAACATAAGGTGAAATGCAGCTTCAAAGTCACCACCAACAAAAAATAGCAAGAAAAAGACAGCCATGTGGTAAAGGACTCCACTCACTCAACACACACCATTTCCACAACAGCTGTGCACACACTCAATTTGAAGTGGTAAAAAAAAGTAAAATCAATCAGAAATTCAACCTAGCACTTCTATATACTTTCTAACAGTCTAAATTAAATTAATGAATGGTTAAGGTATTCAAGAAAATCTACTTCAAATCCCTGTAAATATCTCACCTCTGTTTATAAATGACTGCACTGTGAAAGCAGTTCCCACAGAAACGTTCCTTCTTAGTAACATAAAACTCTATTTGTGACGCCAACTACATTTGTCCAACAGGGATCATGAAATCAGCTTTTTTACAAATCTTTTAAACTGTGGACGTTAGAAGGTTATAAAATAGCAGGATGGTTTTTATAGTATGGCCAATTTTCAACTATCCCTGAAATTAAGGTAGGAATAATTCAGGTAACCAAAGTCACTGATAATACTTAAAGATTACAGGCATACCCTGGAGATACTGTGGGTTTGGTTCCAGACCACTGCAATAAAGCGAATATTGCAATAAAGCGAGTCACGCAAATTTTTTGGTTTCCCAGTGCATATAAAAGTTATGTTTATACTATACTGTAGTCTATTATTAAGTGTGCAATAGCATTATGTCTAAAACAACCAATGTACATACCTTAATTAAAAAACACTTTGTTACTAAAAACTACTAACCATCATCTGAGCCTTTAGGGAGTTGTAATCTTTTTGCTGGTGGAGGGTCTTGTGAAAAAACGCAATATCTGCAAAGTGCAATAAAGCGAGGTGCAATAAAACGAGGTATGCCTGTATTTTAGGTGTTAATCACTAAACATATTTTAAGTCAAATTATTAAAGAGAATTGGTAAAAAATAGTAGGAACATCTATTTTGAAAATAATCTCCATATCCAAGGCTCCTTTGGCCCCAGTGGAAGAAAAGTATGTGTGGACACTTAGGATTTCCCAGTCTGGCATCTGCTCCCTCTTCTCCTGGTAAAACAATACCTTGATTTTCTTCTGGGGAAACTGCCTGGTGGCACTGACCCCAGGCCCCAGTGGAGGGCCCTGCCTGCCTTAGGCAATGGTACCCCCCTAATCACAATGATTAAAGCCAAGGAGACATGAGGACATATTTTGGGGCTGGGGGAGGAACATCTGCAGAAACTAGGGGAGAGCCACACTTCCTTCCTGTGGCTAGAGGGGCATGAGCACCGGGGGCCTGAAGGTGACACTGCCATTTTCAACAAAGAGGGGACACGGTCTTGGGTGATATCATTTGAGCTGCTGGGTCAAGAAGAACCTTAATAGTTCTGGACTTTTGATTACATGAGCCAAAATACTGTCTTTGCTGTGTGAATATCAAATCACATCAATAATGAGAGTAATGATGCCACTGATAACGTTTTTGCCTTGATCAAGAGGAGAGAGCCGAAATGACCTGCACGGCTGCTTTGAGTAGGTGAGCATAGCTGCTCTTGTTTCCGCCCACTGGCTTAATATTGGTTGTCAATCACGGCTACAAGCCGAGATTCTGTGAAGTCCCTATGTCTTAGTGGGGGGCTGTGTGAGGAAGGGGGGCAGGTCCGAGGGGAGGGGGCCCTTGGCTTGTGTGAAAGGGGAGAGGTGAGGAGCACAGAAGGCCTGTCACTGTGAATTCTACAGACCTGCCTTACGCTCCATCATCTGGAGAAATGCTCCCACCATGGCCCGAGGTATCTGGGAGGATGTTCCCATTATGAGTTCATCTGACTCTGTCCTCAGCATTTGGAAGAGTTCTGGGGAAAAGTCAGACAGTAACTAAGAGCTGAATTAGGAAGGCCCTGGAGATGAAGGAAAATGACAGTGGTAGTTGGTGTGCAGTAGTTAAATTCTGTGCACAGCCAAACCTGAATAAACCTATTTCTTTGCCTAGTCTCTGAAGGCAGGAATCACAAATGATGAGTTTTAAAACCATTGTACAGACAAGTGTCAAACAGGAGTTGAAAACTACTTGTAACTATATATTAAACATCTATACTTAGAATATAATTCCTTTAAATTTAGCTCGTCTTTATTAAAAAAAAATTGAACCGCCAATCTGAACACACCTTCACTGTTATACAGACGACCCAAGGTCTCCCCCCTCTTGTAAGGAGACCTTGGGAACAGAGAAGAAGCGAGCATGAGCCTTGATCTCAGGGAACTCCGCCCAGACAATGCAGAAGCTGTCCCTAATTACCGCTCACTATGACCTGAGGACTGTCTAGCTTGCCACTGCTTCCCCTAAAGATTTGAGAACAGACTGAATTGGGAGAGATAGATAGGTGGTCTGACTAGAGCAATTAATATCTGTGTAGTTTTCTCTCAAATTTAAAGAGAAAGGAAAATAAAATCACAAACATGTGACTTATGAACGTGCAAATTTCACAACTAGACTGGAAACAAGCATTTCATCTAAGTCAGACAGTCTGGCAAACAGGTGACCACCTATCTCACGTGCATACCATTTCTATTTCAGGCCCCTGCCCCCAACCCAGCAGGCGACAGCGCCCAGGGTGCCCAGGTGGCATAAGCAGGTGCTGGTCAGCAGTGCAGGGAGGCACTTACCTGGAATGAGAAGAGATTTCGCTGAGGTCACCCATGCTGCCGTCAGCAGCACTGCCGGCAGAGATGGCGGGCGCATAGCTGTGGACCGCGTACATCTTCGCCTGCTCGTCATCAGGCCCTGAGATGTCGGCAGAGTCAGCCCACTGTTCCGCCCGACTGTGGAGCATGGACCTACTGCCCGCCAGGTGCACGGGGCCGAGGACTGTGGTAGGCATGCACGGGGTCGTGTCAATGCCGCTGTCAGTGGAGGCCCCTTTGATGTAGGTCAACCCCAGCAATTCTGGGTCCATCAGGTCCCCGGACCCAAAGTGTTTGTCGTCACTGTTGCTGGAGGTGTTGCTGGAGAGTGTGTTGCTGCTGGAGTGACTGGAGCAACTTTTATCTCCAATCTTGGGAAGAAAGAGAAACAGAAAGGCTTCAAAGGAATCCTATACTTGGCTTCTCTATGAAGACGTTTCTTCTCACCCAGCCTCACAAAGTTACACAGCAGATGCTCACACCTGAACCCTTTCTCCTCACTCTTCAATGTGAGGCAGAGATAGAATTTACTTTTAAAAAATATCCTGGTTTTAGGCAAAAGTTCCTGATTCATAATTCCTGCCATAAGTCATCTTAAATGGGTATCTTTTCAAGTCTTTGTTCAATTATTTGTGCTCGAAACACAAAAGTATTGCCACAGTGTCGCTAACCAGAAAATAATCAACAAAGGCTACATAAACTGGGAAAGCACATGGAAAATTAATAAAAGGAGGAAAGCAGCCTTTTATCAAGAAACTTCTTCTATGACAAATTACAGTGCCAGCCCTGGGTTTGGGGCAGAAGACCCAGGTTTGAATCACAGTGGTAGGACTTTGGCCAGTCACTTAGCCCCTCTCTGTGTTTATAATACTGAGCTCAGATGATTAATGTGTGGACCCAATGAGATAACAGATGCAGAAGCGCTCTGCAGCCGCAAAGCACAAGGGAAGACTAAGCCATCCCTCCGAGAGAGCCCAAGTCAGAGTGTGCCCAGGTGCTAACAAGACGGGGCTCTCCTAGAGTCCACAGGAGTGCTTTGGGGTCCCCGCAAGACAAAGAGCAAAGAGAACAGAATAATGTCCCCGTCTGACTGATGTGCTCATACAGACACGGCCCCTCTTCCTAGCCCGGGAAAACTAACAGGACCCACAGCAGCAGCAAAGGGCTGTGGCACCATGAGAACAAGTCACACCTTCATCTATTTTAAAGTGCTTTGGGCTTTTCCTCTTTCATTCCATCCTATCAGATCCTTAGGCTAATCCCTTTGACCTTTTTATCACACGTTGAGTTGATATTCTCAAATCTACTCCCACCACTGCCCCCCCCCCACCCCGCCCCCCGCATCCCTTCGCTGAAACCGCTGTTAGCAGTTTGGAAAGGTGGAATCAGGTGGATACTCTAAGGCCAACTCAAGACAAGGTCCAGACACAGCTAAGAGAAGGAATGTACATGTAACTCGCCAACGACACTTGAAGGAAGAGGAGAGAAACAACTCAAGTCAGGAACTTGCAAAATTTCTTTACCTGCAAATTTTCAAAGTTACGCTACTTTAAAATGTTGGTTTTATTCGGCAGCAACCAACAATTGATGTTTTCACGTTTAACTGAATGTCTTGTTTCACGGAGCCAGTCGCCCATAAGGCTCACTTCTAGGGTTTTTGCAGAGAGTGAACAAAACGACATGTGCAAATAACCAAAGAACATGGTGCCGGGCGGGCGGACATTGGAACAGCACATGCATGTTCGCTGCTGCTGCTCTGACGATGAGTCATTGGTAACTGTACATACGAGTGGCCGGCGATGGGCAGAGTGACCATCGCTGACCACACAGACCACTTCCCAGCTTCCGCTTCTGTGTTACGCCCACAAGTGGATAAATGGTTAACAGATTAAAAATAGGAACATGACTCAGTAACTATCAAGCTGGATATGGAGGATCAGAAGGCTAAGGATACAATCTTGGTTTTGCCAGTAATTTGCTGTGTGACCTTTCTTTGAGGTTCTTTATAAATCAAACAGGAAAAAAAACCCTTAACTTTTTATTTACTTATTTTTTTTTACCTCACCTCTAACAGACCTGTGAGGTAAATGAGGTACCAGTGAAAATCCCTGGCAACAATACTAATAAGTGATGTGTGCTGAGATGCATCAGAATGGCTGAATGAGCGGCTGGTTTACGAACAAGGACTTACATGAGAAAGCTTATTGGGGGAATCTTTGCAGCTTCCATCTTTCTGCAAGGCTCGCTCTTTATAGGAACTCAGGACTTTGGAAGGTGGGCCATGCCATTTGGTTTCTGTCATATAAAGAGAGAAGAGTTGAATATCTAATTTCTAGTGTTGACAAAAGAGCACAGAAATACAGGAGCCCAACAAATGGTTTGGTAAAAATGAACAGGATTGTGGTTCTAGAACTTTCTAGTCTTACCAATGGAATGCGGTAAGAGTAGACAGAACAACCACTATGAAGTTAATGCTCCATTTCCACAGGTATCACAACCACAACCAACCACGGTCCCTATGTCATCGGGAGACTTGGCCCACCACCTCAGCATATTGTAGATGGTGCTCACCAAACACGCATGTTGAAGAAACAAATAAATACAGAAGTGATGGGAGAAGAGGGGGAGCAGGAGGGAAGGAGCAAGGAGGAAGGTCAAGTCTACCGGCAGAGTTGCTTATTACCTGGGTGTCTGCTCCCTTCCATGGTGTCCTCCCGCTCCCGGGCTCCTTCACATTCCAAAGGGCCTGAGCCCTGGTGCTCGAGCAGTAGGGGAGACTGGCACCTGCAAAGAACACAGAGCTGAGCCCTGGCCTGTTCGCCAGGGCATGCCACCAGCATGTCCCAGCGTGTCCTCTCTGTGTGCTGGCTCCTAAATGGGCAATCGAAGGGACACCCCTAATCAGAAGTTGCTTCTGGCAAATGGAAATGCAGTATCTCTTGGCCCAATGCTGCCAGAGAAGCTTCAAGCCTCTGGAACTGGAGCTCTAGTTTCACCACTGGGTCAATAAAGGCATTTGGATGACGGCCACTTACAGACAGAGGAGGGCCGCTGACGCCAGGAGGGTAAAGACCGTCCAGGGTGAGATAAGTGGTCCGTGACAAGCTAAGGAGACCTCACCGCTTCCGTTTTGTTTTATGTGTCTAGAATCCATGACACTGACACGTCTTTATATCAAACTTTTTAAGGAAAAGAAAAGAAGACTGACTGGCTCTAGACGACATCTAGGTGGACTTTATTTTACGAGAACCAAAAGTATGACAATATAATCTCACAAAAGAAATAAATCACAGGATACTTATTCATATTACAAAGTGATCCTTTCTTACAGAACCCCAGTTACAGATCCTGGTTTGCAGAAAAAGCCAGGAATGGTTTTTCCGTTGATACAAAAAACTCCCCTTTACTTTTAAAATGCCACTCAATTAAGAAAAGTTTCATTATATACAACTTTTAAGAACTCCATCCATTATCTAAGGTAAGGACCACAGGTATCCCAAACTCCAAACCGCAAATATCTACTTCTACGCCCAAACTGGAAGGAAAGAGGATTCCAGGAAGAGCATTTCCCTCCGTCCACGTGACAGCAGTAACAGAAAGCTGCTCTTTTCCGGCTGAAATGCTGAAAAACAGCAGAGGCAGGACGTGGCTGCAACGCAGGGGAACACTGCTGGCGGGAGCAGCCCCACCTGCCGCCTCCTGGGGAGAACATGACTGCATCAGCTTTGGTCTCTTCCTCCCCAAAGGATGTGAACGTTTTCCCTGAGTTATTTTATCAGTCGATTCACCGTCTCGGTGCTCCCAGTTGTCCCCGGGCTCCACCTGACCCCCGGCTCCTGGACACCCCGCACACACTCACTACACGGGACGGTCCTCGGCCCAGACTGTGAGGCCACCTTCTGCTGTTCTCCAACAGGAGGCAGAAAAAGCAGTGCCAAACGCTAACCCTGCCTTCAATGATTCTGCGCTGTGTTTTGGAGAAAAAGCACTTTCAAGAGAGGCTGTGAATTGATTCCTCATCGGCTATTTAAGTGAGGGAGAAACTCCCAAGGCTCATCGCCCATAGAGTCCCCAAATCCTTAATTTTCACATATTCTGAAAGACTTTCCTTACAAAAAAGAAAAAATAGACAAGCTCAGAATTTAGACAAATAAGCACTACCTCCAGAGAAATGATGAGCTTTCTGGCCAGGGCAAGAGACTTATTAAAAGCCTGTCCAGCCTTTATATATCCCCCAAAAGGCCTTGTGTACGGCAGGCGCACACTCAATGCTTCTGAATGAGTCACGGCAACAAGTCCCTCCCAGGGGCCAGCAGTAAGGCAAAAATGAGCGATACCCATCGTATCCCACTGGCGGTCTCCAGGGTCCGCTGCCTCCGGGTCCGGGGTCACTGGAGGATGACTGGTTGCTGGGTGAACTTCTGAAATGTTGACTAGAGTCATTAACAGGGCACTGAGGTATCTGCGGAGTGTCAACATCTTGACCTGGCCTGTTTCGTTTTACAAGTGAATTCATTTTTACAATGACAAAGAAAATGAAGAAATACACATTGCAATGTGAAACAGCATAAATCGTGGACAAATAAACTAAGAATTGGTGATGCTATGAGACATAGGTGGTTATGGTTGGTAATTTATCGTAGAAACAGATGTGGCAGGAACAAGACTACCACCTAAAGATTTAAAGCACAAATAATGATTCCAGTGTAATACGGAAGAAGAGGAACAGAACCCCCAAGAATACAGAATTATAAAAACGTTACCAATACTTGTTCTATGAAACTTAATGCAAGTCCCATTTTGGTTCTATATTTAAAACCTATGCAGAGAGAAACTCTAAATTTGGCAAAACCATTTATTTTCACACATCTATTGAATGCAATCCGATTTATTTCAGACACACAAAAATGAGTAAATTCTCATGAGAACTCACTTGATGAAGACGTGCTTGCTACGTTTCCATTTTGCCACCAGAACCCTGTTTTTCCCCCTACAATTTACTAAATTTTACTTTATTAAGGGAGGCTCTGCAGACGCTTCCTGAGGTCACCCCATTCACCTGGGCTTCCTACATGCATTTCTTTGAATATGAGGAGTTCATAAACTCAGCAGACTATTGAGTAAGGAAACCCAGAGTCAAGATGATTTAACGTCAACTTAAAGTTAACACCATTCCTGCATTCACTCTGGAAAGAAAAACTGGAGAAAGCAGAGGAAGACCACATGTTTTGATCTTATTAACTAATTATTAATACTTATATAGGCTTACTACGTGCCAGGAATGGTTCTAAGATGTTTACATATACTGATTGATTCAATCCTCATAAGGCCCCAAAGAGGTCTCTATTATTACTAAGTTTATTTCTTAGATGAGGGAATTGGAGGCTGGGAGAGGACGAGTGACAGGCTCCAGGAAATACTACATCAGTGAGCAGCGGGTGCAGCATCCATGCCGACAACTCGCTATGAGGCCAGCGGAGCCTGACAAGCCGTTCTGGGGAAACTCATGGTGCCTCCACGGCCCATAAGTTACGTGAAAGCTAAAACAAAAGGGTGGAATGAATAACACCACTAACAAAAATTTACTGTTGTGTTCACTTAGAACTACCTAGGTGAATTATGCATCCCCAAATTCTCACCAGCTTCTGATGCCATTGAATTTAACTTTTAAACAAGTGCATTCTCTCACTGAAAAATTAATTTTAAACTCAACTCACTTTGCTTAAAATGAGAGAGAAAAGCAAAGAAATGCTAATGACCTCAGGACCTCTTAAAATACCATGTGCATCAGGGTGACGGGATTTAATCACTGATTTTGCAGTTCTGTTTTATTTATACTCAAAACTGTTCACTTATCCAGAGGCTCAAGCAATACAGTCTCTCGGGTACCCTTCCCAAGATGGTTTAAAGAGCCAGTTGACCATGAGGATCACGGATGGAGAGGGAAAGCCATGGCCCTGGCAGGCGGGACCCATGGGCAGGACCTGCGTATCATCAGCCCCGGGGCTGGGCTGGAAGCAGGCCACATCCAAGCTCCACTGCGTCTGGGGCCTGCCCTGCGTGCCAACCTGTTCAGAACAAGCTAACTCAGAAAAGCTCAAGCCCAATAAGTAGTCCCTCCCCTACAATCTGGAGCTGTAACCCCAGGGCTTTACAAGGGCCGTCCTTGAGGAAGCGGCGCCAGCATTACCTCGTGCCATCGGGCAGCTTGCGGTCGAAGGAGGTGCTGCGGGGAATGGCAGCCTGGGCCTGCTGGAGCAGCTGCTGGCACTGCAGCCGGTCGGGCGTGCCGGGGACGGGGGAGGCCCTGGACAGTGGCTGCAGGGCAGGCGTGGGCACCCGGTGCCACGTGGTGTTCCTCCGGAAGGGGGTTTTGTACTCGCAGGGGGTGCCTTCGCTGTCAAGTTTATATTCCACCATGGGGATCCGGCAGAGCTCTGAACACCCTCTGTGGGGCCAAGAAGAGATGGTGAGAAGGGAGGCTCGGCGCTGGGCCATCAGCGAGGCTTACTTGAGGCCTGCCTGTGCTCCTCAGGTCTCACGGACAAGGACAGAGCCATCGACCCTAAGGAGTGTCCCTGGCTTATGGCAACCTTGTCTATTTACTACCTAGCCTGGAGCATTAGGATCCAGCACCATGCTGTGGCTCTGCTTAATTGACAGATACACTGTTAGGTATTTCATGCATATATCTTCCCTCTCCAGGGAGTTTGCAAACTTCTTAGACAGACCTGAATATATCTGTAACGAATTTGTACACATGGAATCATGCACATTGAACATGGGTGATAAATACACTTTAATAGATTAAAAATGCCTCATATAGGGGCTGGCCCCGTGGCTGAGTGGTTAAGTTCCCGTGCTCTGCTGCAGGCGGCCCAGTGTTTTGTTGGTTTGAATCCTGGGCGCAGATATGGCACTGCTCATCAAACCACGCTGAGGGAGCGTCCCACATGCCACAAATAGAAGGACCCACAACGAAGAATATACTATATAACTATGTACTGGGGGGCTTTGGGGAGAAAAAGGAAAAAATAAAATCTTTAAAAAAAAAATGCCTCATATATAACCTGAACAGGTATTTTCAAGTACAGTTATAAAATTAGGAATGAAAGTCACATGTTGCTTTTTCTATCAAGTCTGAGAAACGTCAAAAACAAAATTAGTTAACAGCTGTCACAGTCAAGGGAAAACCTGAGTGTCCATCTTGTCAAAGTCAAGTAGGGTTTTTAGTTATTATAGTTCTCTCTTAAACTAGCATTACAGCTCCCCAAAAGGTCATCGAGTGTGCTCTCCCATGTGCTCTAATGATCAGTCAGGGATGTAAGACCCTTTGGCCTGAAAAAGGTGACTTGAGTCAGACATCCCTCCAGTTTCCCACTAATTCACAGGGCAAATAGTGCTATTAGCTTGACCAAAGTTGGCGTGCGAGGCCACCTGGTGCAGTTGGGCGAGGACACAGGAAGGCTGGGTAAGTTTCAAATTTGAGTGTCAGGACAAATCACCCCCATCTACCACGTTGATAAAGCCAGCGCACCTCTCCCCAGACGTTCCAGAGTCAACACAAACACTTTCCAATGCTCACCCCATGAGAAACCTACGACTGGAGGGTATCACTCTTTAAAAAGCAGACTTGCATTCTCGAGACAGTAAAGTAAAACTTTTCAGCCTCTTTTCAATATCATAACAAAAGAACACAGAGAACAAGAAACAGAAAATCAACCATCAACGAAACTTGGAGGCACCTGAAACTCTAACACACAGCATATTAAGCTAGAAGAATGCCAGAGGTTTAGCCCAGCAGAGGAAGGCAGGAGCCAAGGATGTCCCGAGGGGAAGACAAAGAGGAGTAAGATGAGTCCCCTTGAACCCCGGGTGCGGGAATAGGAAGCACCAGGCCCTGCAGAAGCCAAAAGGGAGGGAGAAGGCATGAGAGAGGGGGGTTATCAGAAAGGAGGGAACAAAGAAAAGTGCCACCCTCGGCACTGGGCCCAGTCAGGCTATAACCCCTCCTTACCTCTAGGGGTTGGGAGCAATGGTCCAGGGAAGTCAATGGGAATGAGTCTAGACTCAAGGCCAAGAGGCAGAGGAGAGCTGGCTGAAAACCAAAGGCTCAGGCAAAGTCTCACTGGAAATGAGACTCAGAGTCACTCCTCCTTCCTGCAAACCCAGCTTCAGAACGCTGTACCCCCTTCTCTAGAGAAAAGACGAGCAGACGGAAGCCATCCACTCACTCTTTAGTGAGCCTCACCAACCAACCGTATCCTCAGAGAAGGAGGAACTTTGAAATTTAAAAACAGGATAGCTAAAGTTGAAAATAAAAAATCCAGCGAGACAGGTGGCAGCTAAACTCAGGAACTCTCCCAAAATGTTATATGAGAGCAGACATAAGAAAATGAGAGTCCAATCAAAGGTCTAACATCCACCCAACAGAGGTACCAGAAAGAAAAGACAGAGAACAAAGTGGGGAGGAAATGATTACGAAATAATACAAGAAAACTTCCAGCACTAAAGGATATGTAAAACCAGATGAAAAGGTCCACAGCGTGCCCGGTACAATGCTTGAAAACAGGTCCACATCAAGATAGTCACTGTGCAACTCAGACTCCTGGGTTAAGGAAGTGATCTTAAATTTCTGATGGGGAGGAGGAGTGGGGGCAAAGGACACACAAAGGACTGGGACACAGAGAGCTCCAATCTTCTCAACAGCAATACTGGCGGAAAGTTATTTCTCATCCGTCAAATCAAGAGTATTTAGAGCTTGGGGCCAGCCTGGTGGCTCAGCGTTACGTGTGCACGTTCTGCTTCGGTAGCCTGGGGTTCGCCCGTTTGGATCCTGGGTGCAGACATGGCACTGCTTGGCAAGCCATGCTGTGGCTGGCGTCCCACATAGAAAGTAGAGGAAGATGGGCACAGATGTTAGCTCAGGGCCAGTCTTCCTCAGCAAAAACAGGAGGATTGGCAGCAGATGTTAGCTCAGGGCTAATCTTCCTCAAAAAAAAAAAAAAAAAAGAGTACTTGGAGCTTGGGATGGAGACAGAGGCAGAAACCAAAACCACGTCCCCTTTTAGGCTTGGGAAACCAAGTGGATGGAGGCGCTGCCATTTTGAGAACAGAGGAGGAATGACTGAATAAACCATCCTAAAGAGATACTCCTGTTTACAGAGAATGAAGTAGTGATGATCTGTTTGTTAGTAAACTTTACTTCCTACCTTTTGTTTTAACTCTCCTTCCCCCAAAGCAAAATTCATCTCTCTTATCTAGGCAAATTTAGATTACTCTGGATTTATTGAATGCGCTAGTCAATTATTGGCCAAATTTACTAAGTCCAGATTTACACTGGACTGCACTGTTTTTTTTGTGTAAAATGCCAAGGCTCTTGATACTTACTCATGGACTTAAATTGTTTCCAAGTGTTTTCCTATTTAACTAGATACCACCTCCCCTAGAACAACTGATTCAACCATATGGCCAACGTCCTAATTAGAAATCATAATGGTGGGATATTACCTTAGCAGATACCAAAACATCAAGAAAATCTACTCTGTCTTCTACCCTAACTGAGGCTCTCAGCAGGTTACTGGAGGTTGAGATGAAACCCAGGCTTGCTGTCTCAAAGGCTGCAGCTGCCTAACAGTGCAAGCCAGGGGACCTTTCATGGAGACCCGCCAAAGTCAAAGGTCCCGGAGTTAGATTTTGAATGAAAGGAACATGAACATTGAATCTTGTGCACCAAAGGGCAATGTGCATTTCCAGCGCTTGTGTGGGTTTCAAGTTTACTGGGTTTGATTGAAAAGGAAGAATAAGGTAAGAGAAGACAGACGCCGGAGCAGTGTGGTGTATTCAGCTCACGCTCATAGACTATAGCCTTTAAAGGATGTGTAATTTAGCTTGAATCTTCCAAAAAATTACATAAATGGGTAATCACGCCTAATATTTGAGAGAGTGTTGACAAAATCTTGTGCAATGCATTAGGTTGAGGAGAGAACCAGGGTGGAATTATTTCATTTCCAACCTCCTACACAGTCACATGTAAACGATCTTTTAATACTAAAAATTGGCATTCTTTTGCCCTAATAAAAATCAGCTATTCTCAAAAGAATGGTTTTATTTTAAAACCAAAACTAATTTTGTTATTATGGGACACTTTTACAGCAACTACTCTTATAAACTAGATTTTTGCTTTTTGACTTCTACGACTGAGACCTCAAATAAATACCACTAATTATAACACATCATCAAACCGCCTCAATCTTAGTTCTGCTCCATCTGTATGAGGAATTCCTTGAAGGATACATATAGAAAATTCAGCCAATTTTCAGGGGAATGGGAAGAGGTATAAACTAAAAATTAAAAACTGGCCTACGGAGGTCCTCCTCCTGCTGCAGTACCAGAAACGGACCTGCACCTGCCCTTGAACATCCCTTCCCCTCCTTGGGTGGTTCTAGCACAGATGCTGGGCAAGAGATCCCAGCTCTTCTGGAGCGTCAAAAGTGGTGCTGCTGTGAAGGGGCGCACAGCAAACACTGCTGACCACCAAGTAAAGGCCAACTGAAACCCACACCGAGCGAATGCAGAAAGACAAAGCACAAAAGGACATTTCCGAAAAAGGGAGCTGCTAATGTTGCGTGAACTGAAACATTTTTGAAGAAAAGACTCAAGTCTTTTGCTTTCCAGCATTACAGACTCAGACCTCACTGATAAACTTGCTTGGCTTCCTTCCGACACACCAAATCCAGTGAATGGATGTGAACTGCACTTCTAGCTCCTGGCACACTTTTCACAGCTTGCTTGCCAAAAGGAGATCCTCAAAGACATTAGATAAGGCTGCGGGATCACCTACATGTACGCGTTATCGATTTCCTCTTTGCTCAATAACGAATGTACATGTCATTTACTTATGCTACTAATTAACATGCTAGGTAGAGATCAATAAAAACTCAGCTTCAGGGTTACAAATAAATACAATTTTTTAACACTGCTTGTCTAGCCAGTAACTTTCCTGAATGCAATCTCTCGCAGTAGTATATGCTTGAAGGCAAAACATTTTGTACAACAAGAAGGTCATAAAAAATGTGCTAGTTAAAATGTGACACTACGAAACTCTAAGAATGACAAGCAGTTTTATTAGTTGGGTGCCTCAGAGAATCTTCCATTTTATTGCTTTATTCTAAAACAATGCTACTTGTCCTTCTGAACTTAGCATCGTGAACTCCCTGGGATGGCTTATTCATGGACAAGGGACCCTCATTAACTTACTCATATCCACATTCATCAGCACTCTCCCTGCTTCCTGCTGTCTAAAGCAGGCTTTCCCACAGGAGATTTCTAGGTCAACAGCTCCTATCACTTCCAGGCTTCTGGGCAGGGCCAGCAGAGAGGTGGCATCCACTCTGGTTCACAGGTGACAGGCACCCACACTCACTGCCAAGCACTGTACCTATGCAC